GTAGGGAAAATAAATGCTTTTTCCTTGCCTTTTTTGGGCTTATAAGAGTAATCTGAAGCAGACGTGACAGGTATTCAGCAGAGTGTATTTGAGCTAACTTAATTAACTTAACTGGATTCATACACATTGGCGTAATTGAACTGTGGCTCTCTGTACTGTTACACTTAGGCATGTTTCCAAAAATGGTAGGAGTTTTAGTGATCGGTAGCTGAAACCATGAAGCGAGTATTCACTTCAGAATTTTTAACTCTGAGCACAAAACATTTTTCTTTTCGATTATGGCATGCTTCATAGACTCAGACTTTTTTCTCTGCAGAAGGATGGTTGGCCAGTACTGTTCAGCCTTCTGACCCTTCTAGAACAGAGGCATGGGCCAGTTGTGCTTTGTCTAATGCATCAATTTATCACAAGCAAGTGCAAGAATTGTTTTGAATATATAAAAAAATTCCTTACTAGCTTTTCTGTGACCCAGTAAAACAGAACTAAGGAAAAAAAAAATTCCAAGAAGATTAAAATTCATAATACTCTAGAAAATTAGATTCTGTTGGTGACAGCATTTCTTATGAAGTTTAAACAGAGTTGCTATTTTAGTTGGAGATTTAAAGCATGCACATTTCTGATTTCCTCTTAAATACAGTGTATTTTCTTTTCCTTAATAGAATCAATTTAATGTAATCTTATTCTTCATATCTACTTAAGCTCAGGAAGCATGAGGTTTTGTATTTCAGTAACGAAGAAAAATGTTTCAGGAGATGTACAAGGTATATTGTAGCAGGGGGAAAATTGATAAGAGTTTAGTAATCTCTCTTGCTTTCTGAAGGGTTGGCATTGTACTCAGGCTTGCTGTAGAGACCTCTCTTCTAAAAGCTGTATGCCTTGGTTTTCATGAAACCACTTGTCATTGCTGTGGCTGAATGGTTGTATTTGTGGGGTTGTGTTCAGATGAGTTTGGGTGGATTTTGTTGTTGCTGTATTACAAAATCAATAATTAACTGCTGGAAAAGCCAGTCGGGTTGTAGCCTCTGTTCTATACTGAATTGGAAGGGGGGAGAGTTTAGTTTTCCAATGAACAGTTCTTCAGTTTTGTTTCAATAAGGTTGAAGCACTTTCTTTGATTGAGCAACACGCTTTCATTCCAGAATGAAGGGCTTCAGAAATTTTTCAAGAGTTGATTAAATTGACATTCCTGACAAACATAATGATTTCACTAATTCAGCATTTTCCAGTGGAAAACTATTCCATCAGAAATTTAAACCAGATCTAGTAGCTAGGAACAGAGACACTGCAAGATTTTTTTAGCTTTTTTCTAGTAGCTTCACAAGCATTTAAATAAAATTACTCTTGTTTCTATATAAGTCCTTATTTTCTTTTGAGTTACGAACTGACTTAATGAAAGATTTAATTATTTAGGTGTTGATGCCAGAGCTTTCAAGGAAATACCGCACAAATTCAGGCATAAGGTTTTGTAACTCCCACCACAGACAAGATGAGGAAAAGAATTTGGCATTCACCGATGTTGGCAATTGGATTTTAATACTGTTTCAAAATAGATTGAGGTTGTGGAGGTTATTTGACCATATATGCATGTTTTTGAGCAGGCTTAGCTTTAAGCTAAATGTGTTTGGGACTAAAGTGAATTAAAGCAAGAAAAAGCGAGTCAGGACTAAAGGAAAGCAAGAAAAAGCGAGTCAGGACTAAAGGACTGGATGTCTGCATGTGTTGGTCTTATCTATATATTTTCTAGGTGATTTTACTGATCAATGTTTGGGGATTCCTTTTTAAAGAATGAGAGATTTATCGTTTACTGTAATGTGGTTTCATTTCTGTAAAAAAAATGCAAGCAGGGGGGGTGTAGTGGCAGCTTAAATAGTGGAGATTCAGAAAACTAGTTCATTTCTAAAAACCAAATATCAAGAGCAAATGTGCTTTTGTGCGTTTTTGAAAAGCAAGCCCTTATTGCATTAAAGGTAGAGCAACTACCTAAAAGCTCTTTAAGCTTTAGTTTAATGGTCCATATAATAGGAAACATTAAATTTGCTTTAGGATTTATCCCTCTAGTGTTTCGAAACACAGGTCCCAGTTCTGCTAACGCTTCATGGATGTTTAAAGTGTAACAGATGAAGAGTCCCCTATGTCTGTCACAGGAAAATAACAGAACATTGATTTGAAGGAGTCCTGGGCTATAAGAGAATTCTTTTCAAATTAAGTTGAAAGTACTTCTACATACACCTGTGTATGGAGATCAAGGTGGATTTAGGACTGTTAATGTTTTCCTGTGAAAAAAAAAAGTGAAATACAACAACCCCACCACCACTACCACAGGGTCTCCTCTGCTCCAGCGTCATAACATGCTTACTTGATTTTAATAGTTCCTGCAATACAATATCAGCATAAGGAATTTGTCAATTGAGAAGGGAAGAGATAGAAAGGGGAACTTTTTAATGGGATATTTTCTGCCCCTTAGTGTGGGTTGTGAATACTGATGCCACCTGACAGAAGAAATGATTTCAGTAAGTGGAGGGGGATTTTATGTGGTGGACATAATCACCGCATCACTAACAGATGAGTGACACTGCTAGAATACAGCCTGGAATATTTCAGACAGGAAAAAACAGCAGAAAGAGGTTTCTTGGATTCAGAAAGTAGAAGTACTAAAAATACAAGTAATGTTCATTTGATCATCTTGCCTCTGATGCAGCTGCTAGATGTTTTGCTTTCATTCCATAAAAAGTCATAAGAAAATCAAGAAGACCACTACTGTATGCATTCTTACAGTTTTTTTTATGTTGAAATCCTTTTCCAGGAGATGGTAAATGTGGCAGTTTGCACAGCGTTAGGCTGAGAACCTCAAATTACCCCAATGCCCCCCTTCCCTCCCTTCCTCTTCAGAGGATTCTGCAGCATTTGGCAGAGTATCAGCCTTTGGGGGTACTAGTGCTAGTATCCAGTAAGGCTGAAAGTGGCATAAACACCACTATTTCCCTGCAGCGTTTTTGTAGCTTATTCTGAAGCACAGACTACTGTTGACTGCTGCCCTGTAGTATCACATTCTGTTCTTCCCTTCAGAGCTCAGTATGTTGCCTACACTCTGCTGCTTATTCCTGCCCATTTTCATCCTGCCTTTTGCCTTAGTGTCCTGCTACCTCACGCCTACCAGTTCTGTGCAATCCATCATTTTACCTTCCGTACTTTAACAAGCCTTGCAAATAAGCAGCTAAATTAATCTTTCTTTGCAGCTCTCCTCTTTCTAGTAATTCCTCTTACTACTTATTAATCAATCCTCAATACATCCCTCTTCGTATTTATTGCTTTGTATCTTCTTTTGTTTGTGTTGTTTACCTGATATTTAAATTATTACAAGGTAAGGACTTTGCTCTTTTGCTTTGTGTAAGTACACAGTGTGCTCAAAATGTTTAATATTGTCTTGCATTAAAATGTATAAGCTCAAACTGTCTAGCAATATCGATACTAAGAATCTTACTAAGAGTAAGGGGATAAATGGAGGAGACCCCTGTATTTGGTCTGGTGTTAGTTTTGTTTGTGCATCTATATCATGCCTATTGTGCTGGAATGGAATTTTAAGGGGTGTTTGTCATAGGATCTATCAGCATAATGATTGGAAATAGTTAAATTTTCTCTGGAAACTTTGACAACTGTTTCCTGGCCCTAATTGAAGGGTATTTTTGTATTCCTTGTATTGTGCGCCATAGTCCATGATAAGTGGAGGTAAGTCGTAACTTCACTATCTGAAGTTTGTAGGAATTTTTTTCCCCTTCTCATATTGAAGAGTGTCACTCAGATTTCCCCCCCCCACCCCCCGGTCTAATTTGAAGGAAGTGACTAAAGGAGAAGTTAACCTTTGTTTCTGTGTATCCTTGCAGACTTCACCGTCTAGAGATGCCTCCTTTCCATATAAAACTCAGTTACCATGTATGGTGCCAGCCTCCGCTTTCAGCAGTAGTGAGTACAGTGCAGAATCTAAAATACTAGATTATGTGCAAGAGCTGGACTCTTCCTTCCATCCAGTCTTATCATTCCCTTCAGGTAAGTAACTCAAATGCAATGCCTCTAACAGAGGGTGGTTGTCCTTGTGAGATCTGTAGAGTTTATGAACTATTCTTTTCAGTGATTTTTAGAACTTAGTTCTCTTACAGAAAACCTCACACTGGCAAAATATATGAGTCTAGACTAAATGAAAATCTTAACTTCATCCTAACGTTTGAAAAATAAACCTTGTAGATTTCTCGTATCAGTAACATGATTACAACAAAGAAAAACTGGTCAGGGGAACATTTGTGGTTAAGGTGGTTTTTGTCTGTTTCATGGTGTGTCTAATTGAGTCAGCGTTAGCCCTTTAGTGTGCTTCTGCCGACACACTACCATACCTTGGTTATGTTGTTTTCATGAGCAACTTTCAGTTCAGGCCCTTTGGACTAGCCCCAAAACGCTTTATTTAGTTTTTCTAATAGTTTTTGTCATAGCGTGTGATTTTGGTGATCTTTGAAGTTTATGGTTTCTGTCATCTGATTCTTTAATCTTTTTGGGCAATATTGCAGATATTGTTTTTTTCTGACTCTTTTTAGCCCTGAAACTAGTGCAGGTGCAAGTTGACAGCACTTTGTGCTTCAAAATAGCATATTAAGTGCTGTTACCAGCAGGAGGGATTGGATAGCAGCAGATACTATTGGATTTGGGTTTTCTTTCGTTTTTTGTTTTAGGAAAAACCTATTGCCAGGTAGCTGCTGACCAGTGCAGGAATTCTGCTGTTCTGGGCGGCTGCTTTGCCACAAAATAATCCTGAACATGAGGCTGGGACTGAACTGCTTGAGTCTTTAATCAAACCCGCTGTCTTCCCAGAATGACAGTGTATACGCTCCAGCCTGGTATTAGGAAGTTAGGGATTAAAGTAAGTCTTGGGTTTGAAGAACTCATCACTGGCCAGTAGAGAAGACCCAAGTGTGGACAAGGAATCTTGAGAAGGTCTCAACTCTTGCAAGTTTACGAGGGTTTACATCCGATGTATGGGATAAAGAGGAGTTTCTTTTGAGGAGCAGATAGGGGGAAGAAAACACTCCGCAACAGCAAACATCCCAGTCAGCAGGACTCTGTTGTGGAGAGGAGAGAAAAACACTGCTTAAATACTACTTCTTTACTCACACTCTCCATCACTTACCCTGTGACTCTGACAGCCCAGCTGGACAGGAGCCGGGGGCTCGGACAGTAGTTCCTGAATCCCTGCAGAGAGCTGTCCCCACACGCTTCCTGGGCGACTGCCAGCTTGTCTCACTACTCAGATTCTTTCCTTGCTTCTGCTTCTATTCAAGGTTCACCGTACCACAGTGTATATGTTTTGGGGTGGGTTTTTAACTGTTTCTTTAGAAGTCTGTTTAAGGATAGTCATATAAGGCCACGCCCCTTGCATTTATTTGCACCTTACTTTTAAGGGAGACTAGGAAGTTTAACAACAATATTGGAATATTCTTTCCTTGAAAAAAGACTAATCATCATGGAAAGAAAAAAACGGAAAGGATCTGGATTGTATCGTGGCTACTGTTGGTCACTTTGCCAGGATGGAGGAAGAAAAATGTTACTTTAGCTTCATTCCGATACCAAGAACACCTTTCTTTTGAGGAATATTTATTCTCTTTTCAAGCAGCCTTAACCTTGCTAATAATAGTTGAGACAGGAAGAAAGTGCTAGACCTACTATCTCCTGCTCAGATGGAGGCTAGACTCGTGGTCTAGTCTGTGCTTTGTGTACTTTGCTGTCTCTACCTCCTCATGAAGACCACTAGTCTATTTGTCATTTTCTTTCTTATGAAAGAATTATTGTGAATAAATGCATGCTAGAAATTTTCCAACTTGGTCAGGTAGCCTGATTCAGTTTCACGTTTTCTTTGCAGCTTTCTTAGTTATCCCTTTCCAAAGGGATAACTTCTTTTAAAATACTACTTGTGGTGTGCCCACATCTTTTACCACTTTCTTCTGAATAAAAAAAAAATTTCAGCAGTGTGGAAGAAAAGGTTCTTGGTTTGATTTCCTTTTTTTTTTTTTTAATATTATTGGTATTTTTTTCCATTTTGAAACTCTGGAGTTTGATTTTTCAGTGTATGAGGAGGTATTCAGATTCAAGATTCAGATCTTGTTCTCTCTTGTACCTATTTTTTTACTTTCAAAGGAGAATCATAGTTTGCAAGCAACGTAGTAATATAGTGCAGTGGGACTGCCTCACTAGTGTACAGGCTTCTGGAAGTATAATTGCCCTTATGGTTCTAAGTCTTGCCTTCAGAGTTTCCATATTACCAAGGGTCTTGACCAGAAGTATGTCAGTGGTTGCAACATCCCTTGAGCATAGAAGCACCTCTTTAAACTTCAATCCCGATAGCTGGAAAATTGTAGTTTGCATCTAAGAAGTTTGGGTTTCTGGTATTTATGCACCTAGCCTGCAGATAAACTGAAACAAATGTTCCTGCCCTTTTAATTGAGATACAGGAGCAAATAATAAAAAATCTCTGAGACATCCAGGTGATTCCCCAGGAAAAACACAGGAGAAATGTTTTGTTTATTTCTTTACTTAAATGTTTTGACTAGTAAACCTTTCAGACCTACTTTATGTTTTACTCGGAAGTAGAATAGGAAACACAGGAGAAACCTTGGGAAGAAACAGCCTTTTACGGGTCACCTTTAGTCTTGTGACAAAATATCTAGTTAGATCCATATCAAAGTGAAATAAATTATTCTTTTTAGTTAGCAAAATATGTTGAAAGTTTCTGTCCAGGCAAGTCCTGAAGGCACATGAGGATAAGGTGGTATGTAAATTAAAAGTCCAATGCCCACCCTTTGGCCCTGCCCTCAGACCTCTTCTTGTTCTGAACATAATAGTCGTCAAGCCTGCTTCTGATGTGGACATATTTGTTTCTACTTAATTTCTCTTCTTTCTTGTAATGTTGTTTCCAGAAGGGCTTTTCAGACAGAGACCTATTTTTCTTAAGCTTTCCTGCGTTACAACAGTCGGTAAATTCCTTACCACTTGAGATGTTTTGCAGACTAATTCTTGGTTAGAACTCCCTCAGGAAATGAATTACATTGCCCTGCTGTAGCCTTTGCCAGAGAGAGGAAGAAGGAATGTACCTTGACATTACCTCTAGGCTCCCAGCAGTAACAATTTCCAAAAGCATTTATTACCTGTACCCAAAAGGTTGAACTGAAGGCTTTTCAGATTACAGGAAAAACACACTGTGTGCTCTCCACCATGCGGGGTTTTGTGCAGGAGTTAGTCAAGAGGGGAAGACCCCAGTCTTACTCTCACTTGATACCCTCCAGAGCTTGTTTTCATGAAGAACAATTCTGGAGTAATTGCAGGTACGGACATAGTTTATTCCAGAGTAAGACAACCTTGCTCTTTCTTACTTTGACTTTGAACGCCAAAAAAAGTGCTGTTAATCTACTAAGTGTGTGTGTCTGCACTGCTCCTGAACAGGAGCATTCCTTAGGTTTGAGTCTTACCTTGATCTGAGTTGTCTTGTCAGCCCTTGGAAGCTCTTAGTGCTGGAGAGCTTGGAACCACTTAAGCATACTGCCTTGGTCAGCACGTATGGCAGTGTAGCTTCACAGCTACAAATGGATTTGTTTTTACCATGGTGTAACTCTCACTTCCCGTTAATAGAAAGATGGGTACCTTGAGATCTTACTCCAGGCAATTACTGGAGATTATCTTGTATACTACTTAGATAACCAATAGAAAAGACTACAGGTCTTTGCCTATAGTGGAGGATAGCACTCGTACAGTAACTATCTTGCTGAGAGTTGCCTCATCTCAAATTTTCTTATTTACTCCTGCAAAAATCACTTCTTTGAAATGTCTGACTGGGCTGTTTTGGGATATTGTCATCGAGTTTTCCTTTGGCTCTCACCAGTTTCAGGACATGTTTTTCTATATTGTCTTCAGCTTGACCATGTGAAGACACTGCTGCTATATAGACAAGCGATCGGTCCTCGCGGGAGTTAACTCAGCACTGCTGTTCTTCATGAGTTGAAGGACTCAAAGCAGCAATATTGCTCATAGATTATATTACATAGTATTGTGTAATCAATTCCTAGACCTTTAGTGATGATGCATAATTCATTGGCTCATAGGTTGCCATCTTTCTGATACAGACTGCATTCCCTGTGGATTTCTTTTTTTTATTAGATATTCCTCTTCACATATACTTTGAAACATTATTAAGGAAGGATGACATCAAAGGAGAACCTGTTGATTCCTCATCTTTGGGAGTGGAGTTTAAAGTATCTCCAGACAATGGTATGTAAAGCTTTAACACTTTAATACTTGCAAGACAGTTTTTTATTCATTTGCCAGTACTTTCTGCCCTGAAGAGGTTCCATTTATAAACTCACCACAAAGCAGGTTATCAGAGAAGGTAACTGGCTAAGGCTTTAGGTGGAAGGGGAATCTCTTCGCAGACCACAGTGTCAGGTTCTGCTTTGTTGCACTGAAATGATCCCATCAGAGCTGTAGGAGGGCAGTAATACATCGTGGGGGGAGTTTGGACCATGGGTTCTCTGCAGACACAGGTGCCTGACTGCAGTACTGTTTACTATTTGGATTCCTATCAGAAGTCTGTTTTTTTCCATTATAAATAGTTCAGCAGTTGAGCTTACCTGTGAATTGCACCAATGGAAAATAAGTTTTCAACTTGATACATGCTTTTTCTGTTGTAGACTATAATCAACATAATGTTTCTGTCAAACAATGGAGCAGTGGCTGTTTATCTAATTCCAAATCTCAGTCAGTGTCAGGAACATCTGACCAGCTGTCGGAAGGAAGAAAGAAAAGACATCTAAGTGAGACAGCAGTAGGTAAGAGAAAAATGGTATTGTTTAAGGTGGCGCTACGTCTTTAAAAATATGTACTGTATAAATTAGTTTGTTATCGCTGAGCTTTGAGAATTTATTTTAAGTTGTCTCCAAAAAGGATACTGTATGAAACTTTACAGGAGTGAAGAAATGGACTTAGGACACTATGAAAATAATGTGCTATTTTAAAGGATAATAATCTTTCTTTTTCTTCTTGAGTATATATTACAAAATGAGACAAGCTTCTCTATTTTATTTTTGGAATACTCTTAAAGGAAACTGCTCAGCAGTCCAGCTGTGTTTTTCTAATACTGGGTGTCATTATTTTTAATATGAAGGGGTTTTTTTTTTAGTAGTCAGTGAAACAGACTGAATTGCAAAGTTATCTGTCAAATCACTTGCCCAACCATTTACTGGCATCTTTGGTCAGCTATGTTTCATTTGTTGTATACTGTCATTTGTGGTTCTGGTTTCCTTCCAGACTGTTAAGAGGAGTTGTGGGTAGCCAGTGCTTATAATTAGTGTTTTCAGCCTTGTTATCTTTATATTTTAAGCCATTGAATCTCTGCTTCAGCACTTGGTAAGTTGATAGAAAGTGCCCTGAAAGTTCTGTAGAATAATGTGATAATTTAGGGACAAAAAATTCAGCGTACCATTGTAAAGATAAATAGCATCTTACCTCTCCAGGCTATTAGAATGTAAAACCTAACAGATTCTGTTACAGATTCATTTATGTGAACTTTTGGAAAACTTTTGGCAAAATTCCTCAGAAGACGGTTGAAGAAAATAAATCACTGAGTAAGAAGACAAACTATGTTAGTTTAAAATTTCCCCTAAGTAAGAATTAAAAGATATAAATGATCAGTTAACATTGTGGAAAAATACACTGCATATCCAGATAAAACTGATAGTGTAATCTTGCAATAGAGGTGGAGATATGGGAATTACTGCAGAAATTATTTAACAAAAAATTATGATCTATTAAAAAACGAACCAAACAAGCAAAAAAACCCCAACAAAACAAAAACAAACAACAACCCCAAACCAAAAAACCCTATTGATTAGAAAGGTGGTTTTGGACAGACTGAAAACTGTGCATTATAGTCCTCCCCTTTGCTGTACAGTCTTCTCTTACGCTCTGTGCCTGTCTTTGCGGGGGGTGCTGTGCCCTGCCCCCTCCCACCATCAGTGATCCTTTTTTCCACGCCACCCACTCCCCTTATCAGTCGCTGGTCCCCAAAAGGCAGATGCTGACACAGTGTTTCTTGCAACCACATTGTTTCCCTAAGTGTACAGTCAGGCACACCGAGATCAACAATTGGAGTTACTTGGGAGCACTAATAAGAGAGGAAACTTCTTGCTATAAACCTTTTGAAGTTACAGTTAGTCTTCTGCCAATAGTATTTAGTTCTTTGAGTTAATGGAAGAAAAAAAGTAGTCTTTTATCATGAGGGATCATAGTTTCCCAATGCCAGAAAACTGCTATGTGGTGCATTTGTAAGCAGCAGCAGCAGTTCTAGCTTATTATTGCTACGGGTGTAGTACTACATATTTTTTCCTAATTTGGGCTCTGTCTAGGAGAAATTATCCATGGGGAAGGTCAGCCTGATGAACAAGGCCAAAAATAAAAGCTGTGTGCCAGGGAGTTGCAGAGCTGCCTGGGAGATGAGAGTTCATGTCCTTGACCCAGCCTGTGCAATACAGTCTTCAGGATCAGTCTTACCTCTTTTACCATGTTGGAATACTCTGGCTCTTTTTATTAGTTGGTATATTAAATCTGAGTTCTCTTTTCTTATTGGAAACTAAGGTAGAAGAAAAGCAGAACACAGGTGGTTAAATTCTGAATCCCCCTAAATGCTGCTTACACTGGGACTGAATAAGAGTAAACAAGAGTTATGATTTGTCTGGATCAGTGGACCACATGGAGATCCAGAAACTAATTTTATTTGTTACCCTTGCTGCCAGTTCTGTTTTATCATTTATCAAGGAAGAAACTATCAGTGAGGGCTTAGTGAACTGGTATGTTGGTGAGATGCAGCCCAGCTAGGGAAGCGCTGTTAGGGAACACTGAGGAGCGTTCCTCTAAGTCTGATTGCATTTGCTGTGTGTGTAGTCTATGACAGCTTCTGAAAAAAGAAGTGGGATTTGCCTATATGAAGCTGGTTCCACAAGAAGAAATCCTTCGTAGAAGGAGAGGGATGAGTTTTGTGGAACAACAATGACAGGATGAGTAACAAGTGTTTATTTAGATGGCTTTTTTTAGCATTCGTTAAATCGTAAGTGGTTAGCTGTGTGCTTCTAGAAATGACTTTACCATTAGTGTATGGAAAAATATCTTTAGTCTAATAGACAACAGCCGGTATGCTTTTTTTATTATTATTTTTTTGTGACAGGCGAACGTAACACTAGGTTTGAGACATTCTCCTTTCAACATGCAGAACCAGAATCCCATAGCAGTCTTGCTTCTGTGACCAATGTCAATGCGATGTCTAGGCCCACTCACAGCACTTCATCACAGGTAAACCAAAAATGTGTCACTATCTTTACTGAAATATCAGTGGGGAGTTGTGCAAATTAATAATCCAAAACCACATGCCTTTTACATTTAATTTAGTGTTAAATTACAGTGCAGAGCATTTTTACACTGAATTAAGTGGATTACATTAAGTAACTTATTCCAGATCGAGTATGTGGTGTTCCTAAAACAGATACTTGCTTGTAAAAGAATTTTGCAGATCATATAACTGGAGTGTAAGTTTAGATTATTGGCATTGGACCTTTCATTTTTTTTATTTTTTCCCCAATTTCATTAAATATACTGTGATTTATGTTCCCAGTTTTACACAAGGACTCTTATGACTTTTTTCTTGGTGCAACTACATAAAATGGCCTCACAGTACAAATATAGTCACAGAATTTGTTAACTCTCAGCCTCACTATTTAAAACCTTTTGTGCAGAACTACAGGCAAAGTCTCTGGTATATAAATTTGCTGAGGAGCAGCACTGCTCTGGTTCAGTGAAGTCCCTGCAGAAATACACTTTGTTTTATTGGAATTCATTGAGAATTTCATAATAATATTCAGATTTCAGTCCCACAGTTCTGCTAAGCCGAGTGGTATACTGGTGCTATGTAAGTCATCATGTTTCAATCTGGTGATGACTCCTGGAGAGCTGAGTTTAAATCTGCATCCCCAATGCAGTTTTGACACTGCACACTCCTCCTTTTTTCCCTTGCTTGAGCAGACCATTGTCAAAGAACACCTAAATGAGCATTTTAGAATAGACTGCTTCCATTAATGTTCAGCTAAAAATTGAGATCTTGAAATATGGAATGTATCATGATTTAAAACTAAACTTTCTCCTGTAATCTAGGAACCTCAGGTTTTTACCCATGTAGGTTCCATGCACTAGTGGGCAGAGAACACCACCAGGAATCCTGCTGTGATCACGGCAAAGAAATTCAGTTTCTGTCTTTTGCACGTCTTTCAGAAAACCACTTTCCATGTAGGCTGTTCTTCAGTGCAAAATGTAGCTTCATTCTTTTGGAATTCTTAATTGTATCACACTGAAGAACCACTTGGGTTACGGGTTAGTAGATAGATTATAGAAGGTCGTCTTTGTAGACTGAACATTATGAAGAAGGCAGCATTAACTTCAAAGTTCTCATAAGTATTCAGAATTAACTGTAACTGAAATCAAAGAAGGGAAGCTCCCACTGATTTCAGTAAGAGTTAGGCCAGCGAGAAGTAAATCTCAGAGATGAGATAGTTTCAAGATTTGTTGAGATTCCATCGGAGGTGGGGGGGAAGTCGGAAGTCATTAAGCCACTAGAAAATGTGTTCAAGTTACAGACTTTCTCCTTGTGCAGTTATAATGTTTCTCAGCTAACACGTAGTTCCTATGATTTGAGCTGATGAATCTCCTGTTGTATTGATTATGTTATACAGCATAACTCCAGGAGGAGGCTGAGAAGTGAGAGCTCCTATGATATAGACAACATTGTTATTCCAATGTCACTGGTGGCACCATCGAAGTTGGAGAAACTACAATACAAAGAAATCCTTACCCCAAGGTTTGTTCATGACCTCCTTAGTTGCAAAGAAGATAGCAAAATGAACATGAGAACGTTAACTAAGAATATCATTAACATGTAGTTAGATAATGTTATAAAATTAAGATGATCTTTTCATGCGCTTGGGGTTTTTTTTTTGTGCACTTCAATTTGTGTGACTGGAGTGGTGGGAAGACTGGACAGCTGATAGCACAAGGGAAATAGTCTGATACACACAGGGGAGGTGGCAGATGCACAGACTGGCTAAAAATAGAAGTGGGTTTATATCCTCTTAATTGTACTGATATTCATGGCCTTAAATGTGCCGTTAGTCTGACATGCTCTGAACAGTTACTTGGAGGTTGCTGTCTTTTTTGTGTGGTGTGGTTCATAAGAAAATAGTTAACTATTTTCAGTGAATTGAACAGAAATGGTTTTAGCATATATTTTTAAAATTTATCCATTCTGATACAGTAGAATAAGCTTAATTTTTTCCATACAGTGTAAACCTATAATTCATGAATCTAGACACATCTTTTTTTTCTTTTTTTTTTTTTTTTTTAAGAAAAAGAACATATTTAGTTTGCTAAAAAAGAGTAATTGAACTCTTGTGTTGTAATTTAAGCTTAATTTTTTCCATACAGTGTAAACCTATAATTCATGAATCTAGACACATCTTTTTTTTCTTTTTTTTTTTTTTTTTTTAAGAAAAAGAACATATTTAGATTGCTAAAACAGAGTAATTGAACTCCTGTGCTGTAATTCAGTGGCTTACTAGCAAATTGCCTGAAACAGCTAAATGCAATTGTTCCATGTTTTAAATCTCTAATTTGCATTTGCTTTTATATTGTGTTTAAAGCTAAAAATATTAATAAGACTACTGGATAGCTTAAAGACTGTGTTGGGAAAAGGAAAGGTTAGATATTGGGTTGGGAAAGGAACATCTAAATTTCGGGCATCTGCTATCAGCACCTTAAATTTTAAATTATTTTATTTGAAAGAAATGTTGAAGCACAAGCAGCGTTGAAGAAGGAGTAACTAACAATATAATGAAACAGCATTTAGGTAAATTAATTTGACTTTCCTTGTCTCATTTCTAGCTGGAGAGTTGTTGAATTTCAACCTTTGGAAAGATCTCATACAGATGAAGAAGAGGTAGGCTGTATTTTAATTAAACTTTCAGTTTTTAATTAAACTAGATATAATATATAATTAGGATAATCGGTATAGATTTTCCAAAGTCACCGACTTCATGCAAATCCTGGTAAGTTTCAAATATAAAAAACAAAGTATTAAGTATCAGATTGTGAAAATGAGTCTTATCCCAACCTACTCGATCCTATGGTGGATGAGAGAAGTGTGAGTATCTCCATTAATAACCATTGTTCACTTGTTTGTTTGGCTCTTCTGTTCCTTGCTGTCAGCACAGTCAGCGCTCCCAAAGGGTCCCTTTGGTCAGGCCTCCGCCTCCCCTGCTCCTGGGCACTGTGATGCTGGGTGTCCCAGTGTGACTGTCTCTTCAGGGCTACCTGTGCTATAATGTCCGTCCTCTCTCATACTCTTCTTTCATGGCCAGTTCCCATGTCCTGTTGCTCTTCAGGAGGTAATTTGGCATTTTGCCTGCGGGCCCACCAGGTTTCCTCAGTTCTCTTCTCAGCGTTCGTTTTCCTGCAGCCCTCCTGTTGGGAGCAAACTTCTATTCTTTCTGCTTTGTCAGGAACAACATAACCTTCAGCATTTCCTGCTTGCCTGGTGAGCTAAGTTTGCACATCGTGTGCTACTGTTGCTTCCTCCAGACATAAGAATCTACCTTTTTCTTCCAGGGAATGTCTGTGGACTTTGCAGCTGCAGGTTCCTTTCTCCCCTAATCAGGCGTTCAAGGCATTTCCTAACTCCACTGTGAGCATACCAGCAGGTCTGGTCTCTAGGCTGGTTTTCTGTCCTTCCAATCTTTTTGTGGCTCCTTTTCCAGAAACCTGCCAGTTTTGCTGTCCGTTGGACATCTCTGGTCTCCCTCCAGTCTCTGCTATAGGCCACTATCAACTGTTGTAATGTAGGACTTGTATTCGTACTTTCATCCACAATGTCTGTTCTTGAGCTCCTTTTTCAGAGAATCTCTACAACCGGGGTTTAAGTAGTAGTAGTAGTAGTAGAAAAATATTGCATTTGGGTAGCAGTATAGGTGGTTATGCTAGACACAGTAAACAAATCACTATGCCTCTCCCTTGGGATAGAAAATACATTCTCCTCAGGGTTTTACCAGGTCCGTAGCTGCCTGCTCCATGGAAATGAACCTTTCCTTGCGGAGAGCATCATGGTCTCAGCTCCCTACCTGGTGCAGTTGCATTCATTTGGCACCATGCTCTTGGGTCGGAAGGAAGAGAAAAAAAAACCCTTACTCTGTCCCTGCCTTTTCTCATGGACTTGAGAAATTCTTGTGAAATCTGGTGGTCAGATTTATGTCACCTCCACCACTGCCTTTTCGTTTTGGTACTGTCTCTGCTAGCAGGAGTCATGCCTGATCTTCTTTTATAGTGAGAAGGTCAAATTAGATACACAGGAGAACTCTCCTGAAAGGATATTTAATTAAACCATTTGGAGAATAACTAATAAGGCAGCAAGGGCACAGAGTCTGTTGAGAACCTACTGTTCATTGCTCTCTCTTTCATCCTGGTGTCTGTGGAGGAAAAAAGAAAAGAGAATTTCAACAGTGATTTGCCTTCAGGACTTCAAGGGACTTGCTTGGAGGACTCAGTGGATTTCTTGTTTAGATTTCAGATCCCATACAGATGACTTGTCTTATGTACTTTTAGTGTACTTTGCTGAATAGACTTCAAGGTGTCTCTCTGTGAAGTTCATGGGCTAATTGCTCATTTAGTAGCCCTCCCAGTACATTTGTATTTGGCGTGACTAGTTGATCCTGTATGATTCATCCTTTGGCCAGGAAATAACTTGAGTTAACAATAAAGCAGCTTTGCCTCCTGCTGTGGTCCACTGCTCCTGTATTGTCTGTCAGCTGCTGGGTAGAACGAGAGAGGAGAGATGTCAGACGAGAAAAATGCTAAAGATCTTGTTTGTCTAAATCATCCGTTGCCAATTTTCGCCCCTTCTTTTGGGATCGTGTTAATTGGTTTGGATGTTTTTCGGAGTACTGAGAAAAGGTGGTTGTCTGATCATAATTCTTCCACTTCCTTGCTTTTGGTTTCAGGCCGAGTTAGATTTGTTACTAAGCTTGAAAAAAAGACATGAGAAAACAGCAGCATTACCTTTTCCCATTTTCTGCACTCACACTCTGACACTCTTGAAATTGTTCCTTGTACAAGGCAAGCTTCAGTAGATCATTTGTGAAGGACAACAGAGAGGGCAAAATGTACTTTCTGCTTTTATATAAAGTAAGCTTTTTCTTTGCTTTCCACTGCATAGCAGCCTGTGGTGGTACTGTATCATAGTTTTTTTCCTGCCTATATTCTGTGTGGCTAAATTTAAAACTTCTGGAGTTGTCCTTGTGTCAACCAGCAGTTAGGGGTTTCTTCCACTTGATGTCTTGTCCTTTTTTTCCTTCTCTCTTCTTCATTTAAAGGCTTTCAATGCAACAACCGGTATCGATGCAATAGACTTGCACCCAAAGTTCCCACAAGTTACAAAAAAATATGGGGTCCCAAATTTGTCATGTTCTACAGCAGCCACGCTTCCAAGGATGGGAACTCAGCACTTCCTGAAAATCGGGCCTATTCACTGTGACTTTATTTGAGTACAAAAAGCTTACGTTTTTTGGGTGTCTGATTTTTATTTCTGGATATTTTGCCTTACAAGGACAAATGTAACAGTTGGGCAATGCAAAAGTTAATCTACTATCTATGTCTGCTCTATTACTTGCTCTAAAAATACTTAGTTTTTGGAAATAGAGCAGTTGAGTTTCCTGGTTTGCATGTATGAATTTGCAGTCTGCTACTGCTTTAAGGCATGGGAGGGTGTGGCACGGGTTTTCCTATTTTATTTTGTTTTTAATTTGTTTTGTCCAGGTTAAAGTTTCTGGCAAGGCATGGTTGTAAAGTAACATTCAAGTTTATTTTGCAGTTGTTTCAGTAATGACAAATACTTTGGAATAATTCTGTGTGCAATTAGTTTTGCATAAGTGTTTTCATGGCTTATGACTCAGTGTTTCCTGTGAAGCCAAAGATTGAAATGCAGGCTTTGTTGTTTTGAGAACCTTTCAGAAATATTCCTGGTGCTATTCAACATTAATGCACAGTGTCTTGTAGCGTAACTAGATGCGATGGGGGGATCCAAATCTTAGTTTGCTTTAAGTCTTTTTCTTTGAGTGAAATCATTAGACGTGCCTCACAAACAGGCCTTCCTGTCTTCTCTCAACATCGCTGCCAGATCCATCCACTGAGGACTGACAGTTCTTTTGTCCTTTTTCAAACTAACCTTTGTGGGGGGAAAAAAATATCATATTTCTCCAATTATAGCAACTTTAAATTAAGCTAAAGTTGGTGGAGGAAATATATAAAGTGTTACAAAGCTGGAGAGCAGCAGAGGCTGTACTGAACCAAGCAGAGACCTTTTACTCTGATGTAATGTGGTTTTTATCCATAGAACAAACAATAATTTTTCAGTAAGAAAATGTATTACTTCTTAGTAGTCAATGGAATAGGGTACAACTCATTTTAAATAAAGAAGTAGTTCAATCTGCTGTCATCAGCTATGGAAAAGGAACAGTAAGGCTTATTTCTGTATTTTTCAAAACTCTTCGCTTGGAGAGGAATGTGGACTTTGATTTTTGAAAGGAAGCTTGTTAAAAATGAAGTTTCTTCCCAGCATGAAAAGTTTTGGCAATTTGCTAAGAAAAGTATTTTCAAAGTCTTAAGTTTTTCTTTCAAAATTATCTTTTGTTTCCACTTCAAAAGAAATCTGAGCACACAGAAAAATCCTGAATTTTCCCTGAGGGAATAGCACTTTTGTAGTTCATAAAATTCTCACTTTCACGCTATACATCATTGACCTCGGAAAGACAGAATCTGAACTGAGATGCAGTCCCATACCGATGCCATCCAAGTGACAGAGCTGGTGAATTCCAGAGAGAGGAGGAAACCCATTAAGTTGGTTTGCATGGAAGGAAACGAGCAGCTAACAAAGCGGTTTGTGTTTAACATAAATAAATAAAAGCAATGAGGAGTCTTCAAAAAGCAGTCATGAGATGGGCAAACAAAGCAGGCCTGTTTGTCTGAAGGTTCCTGTTGAGTGCCAGGCTGAGGAGGAACCGGGCAGCTACAGTTTTAGCAAGCAGGTCGTGTGGCCGTTTCAGATCACACTGAAGTCTTTGAGATCCTTTTCATTGGCTCAGTCAAATTTCATTGTGGGGCTGTAGTTTATGACCAGCCACCTAGGTTGGAAATGTGCTCGCTGGCAAGCGCAGTGCCACTACCAGGTATGCTTACAGCAGCATCAATGCATTGTAATACTTTGCATTTGTACCCATAATGGTCATGAACTACCTCAGTGCTGCAAGACTTGATACAAAGAATGGCTTCTGCAGAAAACCTCAGGGCTGTTAGGTGTCTGGAGTGGAGTACTTCCAGCTGAGAATGTAACCTATATTGTATGGCTCTATCTGGCACTGCAGTGAGGACTCTGTGTTTAGTTCTCTATTTTATCAGACTCAGTTGGAAGATAAATGGTGTTACTTGTATAACACCACTGAGGATTTTCATTTATAGAAAAAAATCAATTCATTTTCCATGACTCCCCCAATCATTGGTATAACTCGTGTCCAGGACTGATCTGGCAGTGCAGCTTCACAGCTTCTATGACCAGGAATTGTTCTTTCCTAGAATTTCTCTGCTTTTGAATTGGGAGTGGCTGGCATAAAATCCATGGCTGCAGCACTCATACGCTCTCGCCAACCTTAGCTTTTTAGGTGAACTTTGAAGAGGTTGAATGGTTTGGAGCACTTTGAAATAACTCTGAGCTGTGCTGGAGGGGTCCAGCCAAGAGCTCGCCCCGCCATCTGGTGAGTGAGGGGGAAGGGCAGCAAAGTGCTCCTGGCCCAGCCGTGTCTAAGGAGCAAACTTCCTGGTGTGCTGCCAACAGAAAAATGAAGATGGCTCTTTCAGAGTGAAGGTCAGATGCGATGGCTACATCTGAGGATGTAAAGTACTCACATTAGGGCTGTTTTAAGCTGTACCGGGGTCATGCAAATCATTTTCTAAGAAATAGTCTCTTCAAAGCAGAAACCATTTTCTGCTTGGTTTCATAGTTTTTTTTTCATCTCAGGTTTGCTGAGTTCCTCTCAATGTGGAGCTATTGAAGTCCTTGGTGATCTCAGACCTATTTCTCCATGCTTAAAGAGCACCCTGGCAAATCCTGCTGTCTCCCAGCCTCCTCCTAAAGCAGTCTCTGGAAACTCCTGGAATTTTTGCTTGTCTTTATTATGTGCTTTTAATATTGCCTTGATTTGCAAATACTTGTCCTCTTAATTTTCTGCCTCTCACCATAGAGAAATATGTGTTAGTTGCATGGGGCGCGTCATAATTTCTATATCCATTCACATCAACCACAGACTTGTAAAGAAATAAAGTGAAAGTGACAGCGTCCCATATACTGGAGCTCTAGTGAGAATGTAAGCTGAATGCATGTATTTTGATGTGCCTTTATACTGCAAGCATGCATTGTGTTGCCTCCTCTTGTTTGGTGAACAGACCTTTGCAGAATTATATATAATATTGGCTGCCTTTGTTCCTAGTGATGTTCATAATTATGGCAGCAGCTATCCCTGTATTTCATTACAGATAGAAGATCTGTCAGATGAAGTTTTTTCCTTACGTCATACAAAGTACGAAAAAAGAGAGAGAGCAAGGTGGTCGCTGTGGGAGCAGAGCCGCTGGCCCAGAAGGAATAGCAGGCAGGTGTATTGACTTTGATAAGAGCGTTCCTATTGAACCGCTGGTGTCAGCTGTTGGTGCAGCAGTTTCAGAAATGCTGTCCCAGAGAACTTTGAAAATGAGGGCACTCCTCATTAATTAACTCGTCAGGGACAGTACCAGGTATGTTTGTTTTTTTGGCTGGAAAGGGAAGACTCTGCAGTTCTGAAGCACGCATACTTACAGAAATTTGCCATGGTAGTGACCTGGTATTAGTGAATAAAAATCTTACTCCCATACTGAACACAGCTCTGCTAGTTTGAGCTGCTCCCAGTTATTGCGACTGTAGCCACCGAGTGTAACATGAGCCCTTCTTCACTCACCTGACTTAAGATGAAAGTCCACTGCATTCAGAGACGTGTTAATGAAGGGTCCTGGGCTGTGCCAGGGACCTTATGCTTAAAAAAGTCATTGTGTGAAAAAGTTTAAAGGTTTGCTGTCTGGTGCAAAACTCACCAGAATTAAATATAACCCGTAAAAGTCTTGCAAAAAGTAGAGCGTATAAGACCAAACATCATAAAGCTGTATCTGCAGTTTGGCTCTGGGAAAATGATTCCCATAAATCGCTTCAGAATCTGCCAGGACAAAAAGCATCCTATAAATGCTGGGATAACTTTTTCTGCTATTTATCATATGCTCGTATCTACTCTTGGCTGAAAGTGAACCATGACACTATGAATATATATGCAAAGATAGCTTTTTTTAATGGAGGATAAAATTAGAGATAAACCGTATTAAGGAATTCTATTTTAAGCCATTTTGAACATAAAAAAGCTTTAGAAAGTGTACTGAAAAATACAAGCTCTGTATGTACCCTTAATTTTGAAACTCCGTGAACAACTTGGTGAAATCTTGGTGCTATTTGAATTCGGAAGTAAAACTGCTGTTGACATGAGCAAGGTAAGAGTTCCACCTGGCATTTAAGATGTGTGCCAGTATTTTATATCTAGTTCAAATATGCATTAAAGGCAAGGTCAGATTTTTTAATCTTACTAAATTATTTTGACTGCTTTGGAGATGAGTCCAGAGCAGAGGTGGGAAGGGGGAGCCCAAGGACCTGCTGTTTCTTCTCGAGTTACATTGGCACGATCTGCTGACAGTGCAGTTTGGACTCCACAGGCTCCTGCGAATGATGCCGTGTTCCCCTGAGTGGGAACAACCCACAGCTCACTGACTTCTGTCCAAAATTACCATTCTGGTGAGCATGTGGAGCAAGGCGCAGGAGTGGGACCAGCCACCAGCTGTTCTGGAGCCAGAGTGTGCCTGTTCCAGCCCTGTTTTGTCTGGTTAGCTTCTCCACATAGCAGTTTTTGTTTTGGCTTGTGACATCGAGGTTGTCAAGAACCATGTGTGTTTTCATCTGCTCTTTTGATTTAAATAAGTAGACTGTAGGTAGCATGTATGGAGAAACTGAACACTTGGAAAAAAAACAATCTAAATTGGTCCTGGTGATGTGAAAGGGCAGGGGCTAGTTCTTAAGACTCGTCTCTTATCCTGCACTAGATCTTACAGCAAAAATGCTGACGGACGACACAGCCAAGATTCGGTGCAGAAAGACCACCACAGCAGCGACTTGACTTCGGAAGCCCACAGCTCTGTTTGTTCGGGGATTGCACAACTCTCCAGGGAGAGCCAGGAAGCAAAGGTGAGTGCTTCCTGGTCTGGTCAGGTCTTCAGTGACCACTGTCTCTTACCTAAAACAAAGAACCTGAACATATCCTCCTGTCTCACTGATCAAAATCTCAGGCTGTTGCCCTAGTTTATGTAGACTGAATGTTTAGAACTAGATTGCTGTGCCTTATGAATTAAGCGTAAGATTTGTCAACAGGTAAAAATTTCATTGCCCAGCACACACAGCACATGTTTTAGAGGTGAGTATGGCAGGCCTGGGTTCAGGGATGATGGATCTTTTCTCAGGGATGTTGGCCAGGGTTCCAGATGGGGCTGACTGTTACGAGGTCAGGTGTCCTGATGGTCTGGCACCATGGAAAAGAGCTTGCCCCTTCCTGTGCTCTGCCTGTTCAATTGTAGCTGTGTTACTAGTGCAAAACCGTATGAAGCCAGCTTACGCTGACAGCTGGTGCCTAGCAGTGTCGTATTCTTTATCTGAAGAGCCCTGCAAACATTGTACAGACAGACACTCATTTGTTACTTGATAGCAGATCATTCTGCACATAGCTAATCAGTCCGGACTCAACTGAAATCCCTTTTTCCCCTCTTTTCTCTTTCTCCACCCTCACTCCTACCCTTCTGATTCCTTTCAGTCTGGGCTGTGGGAACTTCGAGTTTTTCCACTAAAAGATGAAGAGGTAGAAGCTTTACTGTGCCAAGATCAAATAACGAATCAGACTGAAATGTCAAGTGCAGCTTTTCCCAGCGACTCTCTCTGTACTTCATGCACACCCATTGGTTTGCCAGACAATGGCCATCCACCAAGAAAACAATCTACTGAAGAGTCAGAAGACTGCGAAAATGTTTGCCTGGGAATCAACAATACAAGAAAACAAAGGTGACAGGGAATAATGTGGTTCATTAAGAAAGCCAATTAAGGTGGAGAAAAGTGTAAGGTAAAATCTCTCTTGTTCACACAGCATATGACAGCACAATTCAAAACCTGTACGTTAGCTGCATATAATATATTTTCTTTCTTGCTTTGTAACAGGCAGGATAAATCCCAAAGACAACACTTTCTTCTTCCTGAACCCCAAGAGAAAGTAATTATTTCAAGCTGGAAGTCTAATATTCCCAGTGTCGGGAGTGGGCGCACATAAATTGCTGGCACCATTCACTTTCTGTTGTCATATTGCCACATTTGTTAATAATCATCCTTTTCTGTTTTGTTTGTTTTCAAATGCATTTCTGGTTCTAGCGGATTTCTGGTGCAGCAGGATATGCTGTCTACCTTAACCAACAACTTCAACTGAACACAGAAAAACTACTTGGAAAAAATAGTGGGGAGAAGCGATAGCCTCAGATTATTTTCCTGTGTGGCATGACCATGGGGCAAAAGTCTGCCTCTCTAAATGCATGTGTGTAACCCATGCGTACGATAAGGGTAGGTGAGAACGAGCAGTTTCAACGCAGGCGTTCTGGAAGCCTTGCATCTAGCTTAAAATCTGTACTCAGCTCTCAGTAGTGCCAGGGCATGTTTCATATAGATGTCCTCAAGCAATAAGATAGAACTAGACCACTGCATTTCAATAGTCGATATATCTGCTACTCAGAAAGTAGGGTTTCTGCTTCAGTCATGTGGGTATAGAGGAACAGAAGGAAAGAGGAGTCGAGTCAAATCAGTGACGCAGCTCTTTGAATATTGTGGTTTGGGTCATCTTACTTCCTTAGTCCTTCAGTAGCTAATGAGGCTCATAATATTTTGCTTTAATATGCTAAAGACAAAGTCTTGTTCAAATTTCTGTACAGTGCCTTGTAAGAGTCTCGTAAGTATGCCAACATTTGGTGACTAGCTGAAAAGGAAAAGATGATTGATGTCTAAAGACCAATAAAGAAAAAAGCCCCAAAGCTTTCCATTGTGATTCCGGATAGATTTTTAATTTCCCAGTGAGTTCACAGTGAGGAAACAAAAGCAAGTTGTTTAAACTTGCATCCAAATAGCGTAGTTTGGAATGTATCTGCAATCTTAAAGAGGTATTAACAAAGATTAAACATTGAATGTAGGTATAATCCATCAACAGGAAGTTTTTCTGTGTAGGACAGTTGAAGGCAATTTTATAGGAGTCTCTGTTTTTGTGCAAAATTTTCTTCCATGTGTAATATCTGGAATGGCACTGGACAGACGACCCACTTTTAGTGTCAATTGTTTGGGTTTTTTTTGGTAAAAATGACAGGAATTATGCACTGGGCATCTGAAAACAGTTCAGTAAAGTTTCAACACTACAACCTATTGCTACATTGTAGTTTATTGCACATTCTGATTATTTTTTCAAACACTTTTTTAACACTGGTTTGTCTTAAACTTGAATCTTGCCTCAATGTCCGATACAATAATCTTTGATGCAAGGTTGTTTTTTTAATTAAAAGTTATTTCTATATATGTTGTATATAGTCTGAATTTGATGGCCTTTTAGAAGTGAAGAAATAGCAGTAACGCTTCCTCTTGGCACAGAGACCTGCTTGGCCCAAGAATGGCTTTGCAAACACACTGAAGTGGCAGCAGCACTAAACTTTGCTGTTGTACTGAAGCTGCGCTGGTGCTGTGAGGCTAAGGTCCCCCCAGCGTCTGAATACAGAGGTGGATTTATTCCCTCTCTCTTGTCCTGCATGTGCATCTGCTGCTGGGAAAAGGTTGCCGAGAGTTACATGTCTCAAATGCTTTGCAGGTCTTTTCCATGCCCATATCCTTTCATTAAGACATCTGATCCGACCAGCTCTCACCCAGCTTTGTTGTAAGGTCAGGGCTTCCTGCTCTGTCTGATCCCTGGGGCAGTGTGAGGAGTTTCTGCAATTTAAGAGACGGGACAGACCAAGTAAACCAGCCGGCTTGCCGCCTTCCATGTGCTGAAGGTGCCGTCAGGAAATGGAAATGCAATCCAGCATTTCACAGAAAGGAGCAAAAGGAGAGGGGTTTTCTAGGTTGGAGGGTGGGAAGGGTGTTAAAATGAGGCCAAAAAAACCTGTACAAAAGGAGCTGGATTAACCAGGTTTGGTCAGCCTGGTGGACTGTAAAGCTGTTCCTGCACTGCTGTTCAGATCCCAGCTGTGGTGTGCTATTGAACCGTTGTGTTGCTTTTGGGTCAGGCTCCAGTGTGCTGGCCTAAAGCAGCTGCTTGTTACCTTGCCAGCTGCAGGGGCTGCACAAGTGGTTATCGATACCAGCAAGGGTAAGCACATTTTCTTTGTCCCCTCTTTAGATGTTCTTGTCAGCCATTGTGGGAACCAGCTAGTGCCTCACAAGGCAGCAATAAAAAGGCTAGCCAAAAAAAGGCTGGGCAGCCAGGAGACTGAAAAAAAAAAATCCCTGGAGAAACTATAAAAATGTCTGTTTGGTCATAACCCCACCCCACCACCGTCAGAAGTCTTTTCTCTAACATCTGCCTCTCAGCTGGCTAGACCTGTGACGGCAAACTGCAACTGCCTTCACACAAAGAGCTGCCCAAGCGACTGCACGGCTGGAGAACTGTGCCAGAGCATTTCTTCCTCCCCATGCCCCCACCGCAGGGCTGCTCTCCAAGTGTTTGTTAGTGGTGCACAGGTTTCTGCCATCAGGTGAGCAGCACGTGCAAGCGTGGCAGGTGAAGGCCGGTGGGGAGGGGTGACCAAGAGCAGGCTGCATTTGCTTTTCTCACGTCGCCTGCCTACCTCCAGCAGCCCTTCATCTGGCAGGGGCAGATGGGGAACGCTGTGTGTGCATGTCAAGCAAGATGCTTTTCGGGAAGCCCTAGGCTGCTCCTCACCCACAGTACCTCTAATCATTTGCCACCTTCTTGCAGCAGACCAGGTGCTGTGCCCTACCCTCTCTGTCTCTACTCTGTGTCTTTGCTCCAGGCAGCGAGGCACCCAGTTTTTCTATAGCCCCATTTCACTACTGAGACAAGGTTAGAAAACTGGCTTAACTGAACTTGGTCACAGGTCACACCAGCCCCCTCCTTTCATCTTCTTGCCCCATGCTGCATGCAGCTGGAATCAGCACTAGTACTCTCATTTATTGCCTGCACACCTGTGGTCCCACCTCCAGACAGTTCAGTCTTTGCATGAATGCTGGGGTCGTGAGGAAGCTGCTGGTGGTGGGAGCAGGCTGAGAGCTCAGAGCCAGGCTCATGCGTGAAGCCATAAAATGTGTAAGAAACCCCTGCTTGTTTTCTTTCCTTTTCAAAGTTTTAAACAAGGGGAGGTGGGGTGGGGAAACCCAACCTGTTTGTCTTTTGGCTGTTAAGCTATGAAAACAGCTGTCAGCACTGCTCCTAATGTTGTGGCCAAAGGTATGACTGAAATACCAACCTAAACATTATACAGCAAGGGCCCCCACGCATGAAACTGGGATGTTGCAGGTTCACAAAGAAAGCCATTTCCCTTGCACTTTGTTTACCATTTTCAATTGAGACTTTTTTTTTAAGGCCACTTATGTTCTGCTCCCTGCTGCTATGAGGGCTTAAATGCTTCATCTCTGCATCCAGGACCTTAATGGAATGTAAGTACAAATACAAACTTCTAAGCCCTATTAAAATTAAACTCTGTGTGTCTACTGCAGTTTTTTACCTTGCTCAGGGATGTGCGCTGTACCACCCTGTGGAGCACATGTCCAAGCCCAGCCTTACTCTGCTGTATCAGTTTCTTTTACCCTGTTTTCCAGTGTAGACAGAGCCCTTGCTCTGTCAGATCACCCTGGACTGCTCCAGACCATGTGACTGAATATCACCAGACTGTGCTCTCCCTCGCTGCTGAAACTTTGCTTTATCAGAGTATTGCAACATCTAACGGTCCTGGGGCTTATTTGGCCCTGCGGATACCATGCAAGCAGCAATCTTGGTTTTCATGTCAGCGCACGGTTCAAGTCCTGCGGCTGTGGCGCTTCTGCTGTGGGGTTAATGTTACAGAGTACAGGAGGACAGGCCGAAATAGAGTCTAACAGATCACTTCTGTTAATGTATAGACAAGAAACTGGAACAGTCTTAAGCATTAAAAGAACAAGTATCATGACTGTTACTTCCATGGATGCTCTGTAGTTGCTAACAGATTTAACCTTAGATGTGTAAAAAGCTGCTGCCGTAGGAGCCAGCTGCATAAATCCAGCTGGGTGGGATTTAGGCAGAAAGAAGCAATTCACTACTTTTCCTGCGTGTGTCATTTGTCTCTCCCACAACACTCCTAACCTGAGAGTCAATGGAAGTGCAAACTACCAGATCTAAAACGATGACAAAGTGACTACAACCTGTGAAAGAAAACATACCACATGGTTCCATGCTCAGAACAAAGTGCAGTACCATCAATTAACTAGCATGACTTTAGGATGTCCGTCCCCCCCAAATTAATTAGAAAAGAAAGCAGAAATAGTTTGATTACCCCTTCAAACCAGCTTAAGGTCAACTGCAGGAGGCAAGGATACTACAGCTGTTGTCCTACTGCTTTCAACAGCATGAAAAGCCACACTTCCAAATCCTAAACTAACATTTTCATAGCCCGTTTGTGGCTGCTTGGCCTGCGTTTTAGATGACTGTTTCTCTGTGCACGCTATATTAGACTCTACGCAGGTTCTTTCCAGAAGTCCAAATAAGCTGCTTTAACACCTCTAACAGCCATTTGGACTATGACCTTTCCTAGCCAAGCTTTCTTTTGGCAAACCTCTTCTGAAAGATGTCTTCAGTGCAGTGGGTCCAGAGACTCCATTTTTCTTTGGCTAGTTCTCAAATGGGGTTGCAAGTGGAAAGAGGAAGCAAAGACATTTGTTCACCTAAACCACAGTTAACCACGCAGGAAGAAGCAGTAGTTTAGCCATTTCAGACGCTTGTCCAGATTGCTTGAACCGGCCCTAGCTCCTCCTACTTAACAGTGGCAGTGTCCCACGCTGTACCACAGCCGTCTCCTTCCACAGCCGCCAAGCAGGGTCTGTCTGTGGGACGCCTCACGGGTTGTGGGCTTAGAAGAAGGGGGTGCATCAGCTGCAGCACTGTCTCAGCATTTGGCAGGCGACACGTGCCCAGCTTTGCTGCAAGGACAACAGATTTGACTTTGGCGTCGTGGAAATGGACTGGCTGCAGCTGTTGAGCCTTCTGGCCTGTTCAGCAGACTGTCTGCAACCCTTCTGTAATTACAGCTTAAAGGGAAAAATACCATGCAGAATACCATGAAATATTAAAGGAGTCTGCAGTACTAATTAGAGCCATGGGAGGCAGGTCTGTCTAAACCGGCCTGCTCAGGCCTTCCTCTCGTGGGTTGTAACTCTCACGTGCCCCAGCAGGCCAGGCTGTGAAGCCGGCACAAGCGAATTGAAGGTATGACAACTATTTGGCTTCATAACCAAGAGGAGCGTTAAGCCGTTTTACAGAGCCATCTCCACGCAGTGCGTTTCAACCTACATACGCTGAAATCACTTCGGTAGATAACATTCCTGTATGTCACTATCTTAATCGTTTACTCAGGCATATCTACAAACCAAGAAGGCTGTGGGTGAAGATAAAGTTTTTTAGGCTACCTGTAGCTTAACATTCTTCTGTAGAATCCCGTCACTGTCAGGAATTTCAGACACAGCTGTCTTAACTGGATATTTGAAAGGTAAATGACAAGATATTTCCCAGTTTGTGACCTGGTAAAGATGTTGCACTGACTTGTTTGATGCTCGACTTACGTAGGTCAAGTACTTCTGTGCAGTAAAAGCAAAACATTGGAACATTTCTAGCATCCGTGGGAATTCTTAGCCCTCTTAAACTGCTTTTTTCCCAAACTTACTCCCAAAACCACTCATTTTTGACAGTCAGCTTAAAGGAGACTTACCACACCAAGGGAGGGGTGTTTAATGCAGATATTGGAAAAGTTTGGTAGGAATGCACAGATCAAACGACAAAATACAGACAGCAGAAGGCAGTTTGATTAGAGTCTTCCACAAGAGAGATTGCTTGTGGTGATGCTACACTCTTCTAGCAAGCAAAAAACTGACTGCAGTTTAGTTCAATCCAGACAGTGTTATAGGTTGTGCCACAAAATTAGCCTCCACAGAATCAAGAGACGGGTTCAAACCATTGCATTTCCAACCCTGAAAGACAGCCAGAATGTTTTTCACTGCTGCTTGCTTCATTGCAGCGAAGGAATGATTCCTCTGTTCAGCAGCAACAAGTTTCTGTAATTAATGTTCATCCAGCCCTCCCTTACGCACGAGAAACAAGGGTTCTCCTGCACGCACAGAGCCTTCTTGAACGCTGCTTGGGTAGGTCTCATCGATCCAGACAGCGCTTTTGAGCTGCTTCTGAACACACATTCCTTAGAAGATTGATCACAGATCTGGGATCTGCGCTCTTCATAATAGCACTGCCAGATACAATCATATTTGCACCTGCCTGAAAGACATTAAACACCCGCTCAATAACACGAAACAGATCCACTGAACAAGGTTTCTTGCTGTAAAACACGTCAGGAGGTAGTGAATTCTAGGCTGGTGGGCAAACGAGCGCTATTTGTTGGACACGGGCAACGTACCTCTAACTACAACCACAAATCAAGTTCAGAAAAGACAGCTCTTCCCCAAATAGCTAATTTCTTCATCATCGCTCCTATTTACCCTAACAAACAGCTTCTCTAGCTTAGGGGAGGCTTCAGTAGCCACTATTGAAAAAGGCACAAGATTACACCTCGAGTAAATTTTTTTATATTAAGTGTGCTTTACTGTTCCCTCTGAAAACTAACGGTCAAAATGTCATTCCTCCTAAGCTTTATTTTCCAAGGGACGACTAAGTCTCTTGGCGCAGCAACTGAAAACGCTGCTCCGCTTGAGCCTCTTACCTCTGCGCACTTATGGATGGTGTCAGGCCCGACTCCTCCATCCACTTCAATATCCAACGAGGGAAACTGTGTCCTCAGCCACTGAACCTGAGAAACGGTACAGAAAGGTTGGCACAGAGATCCACGCTCAGCTGCTACAGCTACGTATAGCTTCTTACACACCGCAACAAGGTTTATCCACTTCACCACTAGACTCTGTACTCTTAATTACCTTTGAGCTCAATAAATAAGGAAAGAGAAACTTAGTTTACCTTTGGCATCATGTCTTCCATAAATTTCTGCCCTCCGAATCCAGGTTCTACCGTCATCACCAGAGCCATGTCTATCTGATTGGCCCAAGGTGCCAAGTGTTCAACTGTAGTGCCAGGTTTGATCGCCAAGCCAACCTGCAGGCGAGGCAAGACAAACCCAAGCGCGCCTTAGGGTGACACAAACGCAGCAAGATTGGCTTGAACTGGGTACAAGCGCCCAGGAAAATAATTACGTGTCTGTGTCAGCGCAGTAAGAACAGGCTGCCTTAAGTAAAGATTCCCGATTCTCTTCAACTAAAACTGAAGACTGACTTTGCGCACAGAGCGTTAGGGCTGCACGCATCAATCTCCGGCCACCTGAAACTGCAGCGATGGGTTTTTCATCGCCCGAAACACGGCGGTCAGTTAAGCCGCGTGCAGCGCGCTGCTCCAAGCCTGCGCGCCCCTCACCTTCATCCCGTTCTCCCGAATGTCTTTTATCAAGGCCCCTGGGTTGTCTGTGGCCTCCAGATGAAAGGTGTACTGGTTTGCGCCAGCGACAGCCATTGGTTTCACCCACTGCTCTGGTCTGGCAACCATCATGTGCATATCTGCGAGGGGGGAGCAGAGCGGAGAGCCGTCAGCGAGCGCGGCAG